GAGGAGCATCATCTCCCCTCCAAACTCTTCAGAACTCTCTTCATCATGAATCTTTGGAGCTCCTCTTGAGTCCCAGCACTTCATCACTCTGGACTTGACATCGTCGCTGTTTGTTGTGTTGTGAGTGACAAAAAAGACACTTTAAAATCCGATTTGAACGTCCAGAGCGTCCAGACTGAGACACATCTGTAAAAAGTCTCACAAGAGTCGCATTTCAAACCTCCAAATATGGACATGACAGAAATCGATTTGGGCTGGCAGTCTGAACACGGCCCCAGTGTCCGGTCGTGTCGGAGGTGTGTCGGAGGTGTGTTGAAGGTGTGTCGGAGGTGTGTTGAAGTCGTGTCGGAGGTGTGTCGGAGGCGTGTCGGAGGTGTGTCGAAGGCGTGTCGGAGGTGTGTCGAAGGTGTGTCGGAGGTGTGTTGAAGGCGTGTCGGAGGTGTGTTGAAGGCGTGTCGGAGGTGTGTTGAAGGCGTGTCAGAGGTGTGTCGGAGGTGTGTTGAAGGTGTGTCAGAGGTGTGTTGAAGTCGTGTCGGAGGTGTGTTGAAGGCGTGTCGGAGGTGTGTTGAAGGCGTGTCGGAGGTGTGTCGGAGGTGTGTTGAAGGCGTGTCGGAGGTGTGTTGAAGTCGTGTTGGAGGCGTGTTGAAGGCGTGTCGAAGGCGTGGTGAAGGTGTGTCGGAGGTGTGTTGAAGGTGTGTCGGAGGTGTGTTGAAGGTGTGTTGAAGGTGTGGTGAAGGTGTGTCGGAGGTGTGTTGAAGGTGTGTTGAAGGCGTGGTGAAGGTGTGTTGGAGGTGTGTTGAAGGTGTGTCGGAGGTGTGTTGAAGTCGTGTTGGAGGCGTGTTGAAGGCGTGTCGAAGGCGTGGTGAAGGTGTGTCGGAGGTGTGTTGAAGGTGTGTCGGAGGTGTGTTGAAGGTGTGGTGAAGGTGTGTCGGAGGTGTGTTGAAGGTGTGTTGAAGGCGTGGTGAAGGTGTGTCGGAGGTGTGTTGAAGGTGTGTTGAAGGTGTGTTGAAGGCGTGGTGAAGGTGTGTTGAAGGTGTGTTGAAGGCGTGGTGAAGGTGTGTCGGAGGTGTGTTGAAGGTGTGTTGAAGGTGTGTTGAAGGTGTGTTGAAGGTGTGTTGAAGGCGTGGTGAAGGTGTGTCGGAGGTGTGTTGAAGGTGTGTTGAAGGTGTGTTGAAGGTGTGTTGAAGGCGTGGTGAAGGTGTGTCGGAGGTGTGTTGAAGGTGTGTTGAAGGTGTGTTGAAGGTGTGTTGAAGGTGTGTTGAAGGTGTGTCGGAGGTGTGTTGAAGGTGTGTTGAAGGCGTGGTGAAGGTGTGTTGAAGGTGTGTTGAAGGTGTGTTGAAGGCGTGGTGAAGGTGTGTCGGAGGTGTGTTGAAGGTGTGTTGAAGGTGTGTTGAAGGCGTGGTGAAGGTGTGTCGGAGGTGTGTTGAAGGTGTGTTGAAGGTGTGTTGAAGGTGTGTTGAAGGTGTGTTGAAGGTGTGTCGGAGGTGTGTTGAAGGTGTGTTGAAGGCGTGGTGAAGGTGTGTCGGAGGTGTGTTGAAGGCGTGTCGGAGGTGTGTTGAAGGTGTGTTGAAGGCGTGGTGAAGGTGTGTCGGAGGTGTGTTGAAGGTGTGTTGAAGGTGTGTTGAAGGCGTGTCGGAGGTGTGTTGAAGGTGTGTTGGAGGCGTGTTGAAGGCATGTCGGAGGTGTGTTGAAGGCGTGTTGAAGGCGTGTCGGGGATGTGTCAGAGGTATGTTGGAGATGTGTCGGAGGTGTGTTGAAGGTGTGTCGGAGGTGTGTTGAAGGCGTGTCGGAGGTGTGTTGAAGTTGTGTCGGAGGTGTGTTGAAGGTGTGTTGAAGGTGTGTCGGAGGTGTGTTGAAGGTGTGTTGAAGGTGTGTCGGAGGTGTGTTGAAGGTGTGTTGAAGGCGTGGTGAAGGTGTGTCGGAGGTGTGTTGAAGGTGTGTTGAAGGTGTGTTGAAGGCGTATCGGAGGCGTGTTGAAGGCGTGTTGGAGGCGTGTTGAAGGTGTGTCGGAGGTGTGTTGAAGGTGTGTTGGAGGCGTGTTGAAGGTGTGTCGGAGGTGTGTTGAAGGCGTGTTGAAGGCGTGTCGGAGATGTGTCAGAGGTATGTTGGAGATGTGTCGGAGGTGTGTTGAAGGTGTGTCGGAGGTGTGTTGAAGGCGTGTCAGAGGTGTGTTGAAGGCGTGTCGGAGGTGTGTTGAAGGTGTGTCAGAGGTGTGTTGAAGGCGTGTCGGAGGTGTGTTGGAGGTGTGTTGAAGGTGTGTCGGAGAGGTGTGTTGAAGGTGTGTCAGAGGTGTGTTGGAGGTGTGTCGGAGAGGTGTGTTGAAGGTGTGTCAGAGGTGTGTTGAAGTCGTGTTGGAGGCGTGTTGAAGGCGTGTCGAAGGCGTCGTGAAGGCGTGTTGGAGGCGTGTCGAAGGCGCGTTGAAGGCGTGTTGAAGGTGTGTCGGAGATGTGTCGGAGGCGTGTTGGAGGCGTGTCGAAGGCATGTTGGAGGCGTGTCGAAGGCGTGTTGGAGGTGTGTTGGAGGTGTGTCGGAGGTGTGTTGGAGGTGTGTTGAAGTCGTGTTGGAGGCGTGTTGAAGGCGTGTCGAAGGCGTGGTGAAGGCGTGTTGGAGGCGTGTCAAAGGTGTGTCGGAGATGTGGCGGAGATGTGTTGGAGGCGTGGTGGAGGCATGACGAAGGCGCGTTGGAGGCGTGTCGAAGGCGTGTTGGAGGCGCGTCTAAGGCGTGTTGAAGGCGTGTTGGAGGTGTGTCGAAGGCGTGTCGAAAGCGCGTCGAAGGTGTGTTGAAGGTGTGTCGGAGATGTGTCAGAGGTATGTTGGAGGTGCATCGAAGGCGTGTCGAAGGCGTGTTGGAGGCGTGTCGAAGGCGTGTTGAAGGTGCGTCGAAGGCGTGTTGAAGGTGTGTCGGAGATGTGTCGGAGGCGTGTTGGAGGTGTGTCGGAGATGTGTTTAAGGCGTGTCGGAGGTGTGTTGAAGGCGTGTCGGAGGTGTGTTTAAGGCGTGTCGGAGGTGTGTTGAAGGTGTGTCGGAGGTGTGTTGAAGGCGTGTCGGAGGTGTGTTGAAGTCGTGTTGGAGGCGTGTTGAAGGCGTGTCGAAGGCGTGGTGAAGGTGTGTCGGAGGTGTGTTGAAGGCGTGTCGGAGGTGTGTTGAAGTCGTGTTGGAGGCGTGTTGAAGGCGTGTCGAAGGCGTGGTGAAGGTGTGTCGGAGGTGTGTTGAAGGTGTGTCGGAGGTGTGTTGAAGGTGTGTCGGAGGCGTGTTGGAGGTGTGTCGGAGATGTGTTTAAGGCGTGTCGGAGGTGTGTTGAAGTCATGTCGGAGGTGTGGTGAAGGTGTGTCGGAGGTGTGTTGAAGGTGTGTCGGAGGTGTGTTGAAGGCGTGTCGGAGGTGTGTTGAAGTCGTGTTGGAGGCGTGTTGAAGGCGTGTCGAAGGCGTGGTGAAGGTGTGTCGGAGGTGTGTTGAAGGTGTGTCGGAGGTGTGTTGAAGGCGTGTCGGAGGTGTGTTGAAGGTGTGTCGTAGAGGTGTGTTGAAGGTGTGTCGGAGGTGTGTTGAAGGCGTGTCGGAGGTGTGTTGAAGGTGTGTCAGAGGTGTGTTGAAGGCGTGTCGGAGGTGTGTTGAAGGTGTGTCAGAGGTGTGTTGAAGGTGTGTCGGAGGTGTGTTGAAGGTGTGTTGAAGGCGTGTCGGAGGTGTGTTGAAGGCGTGTCGGAGGTGTGTTGAAGGTGTGTCGGAGGTGTGTTGAAGTCGTGTTGGAGGCGTGTTGAAGGCGTGTCGAAGGCGTGGTGAAGGCGTGTTGGAGGCGTGTTGAAGGCGTGTCGAAGGCGTGGTGGAGGCATGTCGAAGGCGTGTTGGAGGCGCGTCTAAGGCGTGTTGAAGGCGTGTTGGAGGTGTGTCGAAGACGTGTCGAAGGCGCGTCGAAGGTGTGTTGAAGGTGTGTCGGAGATGTGTCAGAGGTATGTTGGAGGCGCATCGAAGGCGTGTCGAAGGCGTGTTGGAGGCGTGTCGAAGGCGCGTTGAAGGCGTGTCAAAGGTGTGTTGAAGGTGTGTCGGAGATGCGTCAGAGGTATGTTGGAGGTGTGTCGGAGGTGTGTCGGAGGCGTGTCGGAGGTGTGTTGAAGGTGTGTCAGAGGTGTGTTGAAGGCGTGTCGGAGGTGTGTTGAAGGTGTGTCAGAGGTGTGTTGAAGGTGTGTCGGAGGTGTGTTGAAGGTGTGTTGAAGGCGTGTCGGAGGTGTGTTGAAGGCGTGTCGGAGGTGTGTTGAAGGTGTGTCGGAGGTGTGTTGAAGTCGTGTTGGAGGCGTGTTGAAGGCGTGTCGAAGGCGTGGTGAAGGCGTGTTGGAGGCGTGTTGAAGGCGTGTCGAAGGCGTGGTGGAGGCATGTCGAAGGCGTGTTGGAGGCGCGTCTAAGGCGTGTTGAAGGCGTGGTGGAGGTGTGTCGAAGACGTGTCGAAGGCGCGTCGAAGGTGTGTTGAAGGTGTGTCGGAGATGTGTCAGAGGTATGTTGGAGGTGTGTCGGAGGCGTGTTAAAGGCGTGTTGGAGGTGTGTTGAAGGCGTGTCGAAGGCATGTTGGAGGTGTGTTGGAGGCGTGTCAAAGGCATGTTGGAGGTGTGTTGGAGGCGTGTCAAAGGCATGTTGGAGGTGTGTTGGAGGCGTGTCAAAGGCGTGTTGGAGATGTGTCAGAAGTAGGTTGGAGATGTGTCGTAGGTGTGTTGGAGGTGTGTTGAAGGCGTGTTGGAGGTGTGTTGAAGGCGTGTCGAAGGCGTGTTGGAGATGTGTCAGAGGTGTGTTGGAGACGTGTCGAAGGTGTGTCGGAGGTGTGTTGAAGGTGTGTCGGAGGTGTGTTGAAGGTGTGTCGGAGAGGTGTGTTGAAGGTGTGTCAGAGGTGTGTTGAAGTCGTGTCGAAGGCGTGTTGGAGGCGTGTCGAAGATGTGTTGGAGGCGCATCGAAGGCGTGTCGAAGGCGTGTTGGAGGCGTGTCGAAGGCGTGTTGAAGGCGCGTCGAAGGCGTGTTGAA